CGCTCGCATCACAACATCCACATACCAATTTCATCGTCAATCTCTCATTCAGACCCGTCATTGCGCAATTACGACGCACGATTCGGATGAAAACACCCGAAAATACTATATCAAATGGGCGCTCGAATAGCGAAGAATCCCAACAATTCGGCCGGTGCTATTTCAGACTCGTAAAATCGACCGAACAATTTTAGTTTTTTCCGACTCCATTACGCGCCGGTATGCGTATACTGAAAATTTATTCAAAATGTTTCACATTTTACATTTTTTACTAACAATTTTACTAACAAGTGCATTCTAGAAAGCTGCTTTTCCTAGTTCCTAATTAGTATTTCGGACTGTTGCACGCGAGTGCCCACTCTGTTATTATTATTATTATTATTATTATTAGATATTTATTATCGTCATCCCGGTCGATTTTTTAGCCAATTTAAACCCCTTTAACGGATCGTTATCGGGTAACGACGAATTAATTAGAGGCGTTTAAGGCGACCAACATGACGGCAGGTGTTTTTAATTGGAGGTACAGCATTACTAAATTACTTTAGTTAATGCAATTAAGAGCCTTCTTTTTTGCTTCTTCGTTTTTTTTCCTTCCTCGTCGATATCCATTCATTAATTATTGATGAGCGAACGGAATAAACGATGAGAAAACCGGGCAAATTGGGTACCTAGTATATCCGACGGAATAAAATACTTAATTCGCCTAAATTTTAATTTATTTACTAATCGAACGTTAATTGTACGGAGTAAAACTCGAAAATTCTAACTAATCACGCTATACAAAAGTGCTTATTCACTTTTAATCAATCGTTTAGATAACTTATCTACTCACACACAAAAAAACTATTAGGTATTTTAACAATCCGTTAATTTAACTATCTAAAATATACTTAAACCAATCATTATACACCGTTGGAAAATAATTCGCGCATAATAGGGAAATCAATGTTAAATTCTTAGCCTGATGAAATCCAGTCTACCAGTATACATTTCAATAGAACGTCGCGATTAATTCTAATAAATTTAATTGTTCTACTGGACTTCACTTCGCGATTTGGTTCGGTTAGATTAAAAATCAAATAATTTCGACGGTTTCGACACTTCGACAGTATCAAAACGGGTTAGGATGAGTGAATGTCGAGTCGATTAAAAAGAAATGAGAATTTTTAAACGATAATTTATTGAAAAAATATCACTAATATTAAAATAGAATTATGTAGATATGTCTTTTTGCCACAATGGCTTGAAAAAGAAAGTAAAATCTAAGAAAATATTTAAAAAGGAAACTCCAAAAATAAACTTAAAGATTATTTTAAAACAGAAAATAAAAGAACTCTAAAAAATAGTCCACCGCTTTCTGCTAAACAATAGCCAAACCTGTCATACAGATGTCATTTCATATTACTGAGCTGAGGTATAATTCTAGCAGAAAATTGAATTATTTTTTCCCTTATTTCAACAAGATTTGTTGCTCTTTCAAAACTGTACCTACCGATACACTTATTTTTTTGAAATATCCCAAAAAAATAGTTTCTAAATAATTTTGTACCTCATATTTAACACAAATAACTTTGTACCTCTACAAATCGCGAAGTGAAGTCCAGTAGAACAATTAAATTTATTAGAATTGATCGCGACGTTCTATTAAAATGTAAACTGGTAGACTGAATTTCAACCGGATAAGAATTTAACATTGATTTCCCTATTATGCGCGAATTAAATCTCCAACGGTGTATAGGTACATTTAACGCTCGATTCGACTAACGCTTCGTTAAATTAATCTTCGCGTTATAAATCAGCGGCTCGGAATTCGGAATCTGGTCGGGGTTTTCTTTATTTTATTTCTAAAAGGACGCGATGGAATTTCGCCCGGACTATTCGCGCCCGGTGAATTATGATTCCGAGCGTCGCGCGCGGACGTCTGGGGAATTCGGGAGAGAGTCGAGAAGACCGAACACAACAAAAAAAAAAATAAAAATAAAAATAAAAATAAAACCGCGCCGAGAAGCGTTTCCTGGAAGCATATTGTTGGCCGGTGCGACAATAAAAATTCAATTACTCGCATTCCCAAACCGGGAAATCGGTGATCTTGTACAGGGCGTTTCATCGAAACCGTTTAATAGAAGTATACTCAGTAACAGACGAAAAGAAAATGTAATGAATTAAGAAAGAAATTCTCTTTAACTTCTACACACAAGTTTATGTCTCTTCGTTACCGAGACACTTTTAACCACCATGAAAAGCTCTTCATACACTTAGAACAGTGGATAATTAATTTAATAAAGTATATTAAAAAGTTGTAAATTAGAGCCCGTTGGCTCTTGTACAGGGCGTTCCATGGAAACCGTTCATTAGAAATACCTTAGTAACAGACAAAAAGAAAATGTAATGAATTAAGAGTAATTCTTTACATTAGTAATTCCAAGTATTACTTGGAGTAATACAAGTAATTGAAAAAGTAATTGAATTACTTTTATTGTAATTGAGGCGGTAATTAATTACAAGCTCCTCAATTGTAATTCATTTGTAATTCAATTACTCCTTTCGTTACAATTACAATTACATTTCAATTACATTGGACACAAAAGTACTTATTTAATATTTTCAATACGTGGAAAGTTTAATTCCGATTGCAAATCCCTAAATAATTATTTAAAACTGACACCAAAGCAAAGTAATTGTGAGTGTAATTGTGATTGTAACTTTAATTGTAATTGTAATTACATTCGCAAATTTCGTAATTGTAATTGCAATTAATTACAATTGTATTTAATTACATATTATAAAGTAATTTTAACATCAATGTTTATACTTATGTCTCTTCGTTACCGATACAATTCTAACCACCATGAAAACCTCTTCATACACTTAAAACAGTGGATATAATTAATTTAATAAAATATATTAAAAAGTCGTAAGTTAGAGTCCGTTGGGTGTTTCTTTTTTTTTCGAGTTTTTGTGTATGGGGTATCGGGTTGTCAAAACACCTGTGTACTGCTCGAAACTGGTCGGGACCGGTTAATGAATTCATAAAGCGACGGGACATTAGGAGAGCTTTTCGTTTCAATACGGCCATCAATTATTAACGTACAATTAATATTAATGTTCGCTTTAACTAGTCGATTTGACGGTTCAATTTACGAGTCGAACGTTATTTAACGTATAACAGTTTTGGTTGTAAATAAAGCGATCGTTCCCATCTCTAACTTTTGGACGTGGCTACTCGACCGCACTAAATTCGGGTGTGTATGACCAACCGTCGTTTTTAATTAATGTATAGGATAAAAGAATGGAATCGTTTACGCCTACTTTGCGAGTACCAGCCGGGGAAGGATTTCTATAGGAAGAATCGAAAATAAAAAAAAACACGACAATATTTACATTTAAAACGCTCGCATCACCTGGTATGTGTACAGACTATAATCGCGCCGCTTACCGAGATAAAAACGCCACTTTATCGCTATTTGTTCAGTTATCTGTGGTACCGTGATTGATGCCTTTGTCGGCTTTTAAATGGCGACATTACGACCGATTATCGGCCACGAATTGTGTGCTAAGCACCGATAATAAAACCCGGCCAACTTCGATTCCGAGACACCTTCCGCACCAACCAAAATGGCCACTATACTCGCAACTCATTTTCTACAATTTTTTTGCACTTCATGCAGAGTACCCGTAGACCTATTAACTAATGGACGCGGTTTAGACAAAGAGGTAGTGTTGTCGATGAATGAGAGAGATGCAGCTAGTTTGGGCATATGGCAATGAGAGATTGGACAATGCATTAGCCAATAGTAAGAAAGCAAAAGACCACGTGAGTTACGTTTTCAGTAATGCAAGATAGCTGGGGTAGAGGAGGGTAGATTATGGTAGAATAGGGTTGAGGATTTATTATTTTTTTACCGAGCAAAATGCATTTTTCAGCTGAGCCTAAATTCCCACGCATTTTCAAATACAGTTCTTATTTTGTATTGTTAATTGGAACATCCTACCTATTAGCCAGTACAGATTTCGCAATTTAAGATCTAACTGCTTTCTCTTGTAAAAAATATGTTTCTTCCTGGTCATTCTTATGTCCAAGTGGATACCAAGATAAAAACAATATTTAAATATTAAGCGTATAAATAATTTAACAGAATAAAAGCCTTTTTTCACGCACCCTGTATATATTTTATACAGTGTGTCTACTTAAGTTCGCACCATATGGAAAACTTTTTTATTATTAATTTTACGAAAAAAAGTTATTCTTCATAAAAAGTTCTGCATGTTTTAAAACCTAAAATACAATCATCAGACATCTAATTTTTTCAGTCGTATACGAGGTTTGTCAGAAAATATGAATTTTGCTCAAAAGTAAAGTAAATCTATTTTTGAAAATATTGGAAATTGTTATCTGTTATCTCTTTATTCGTTAAAAATTTGATTACATTTACATCTCTTAACCTCTATGTTGCATTAGTTCGATTATGCATTGAAATAAATGATAACAAAATAATTTATTTTACAATAATTATCGACTACATAAAAACATTAAAAAATGTAATTTTTAGTCCTGATCAACTTTTCTTAATAACAATTTCCGATATTTTCAAAAATAAAGGTACTTTACTTTTAAGCAAAAAATACATTTTTTTGACAAACCTCGTATACGGATTAAAAAAATTGTTATCTGATGGTCGTATTTTAGGTTTTAAAACATGCAGAACTTTTTATGAAGAATAACTTTTTTTCGTAAAATTAATAATAAAAAAGTTTTCCATATGGTGCGAACTTAAGTAGACACACTGTATATTTTTTGGTCCCGCCTACTTTTAGCCCAAACTAGCTCCATCTCTCACGGACCTCTCTCTCTATCATTGGGAACGCTGAATAACCTCAAAATAACAATAGTACCGCGTCCATACTTAATAGGTCTATGAGAGTACCGATAACCCAAGAATAGCTGCGACATCTGTGTATAGAAGTAGATACTAATTTAGATGTTGGTATTGTTTCAGGGGAACCCTTATGCCCTTAAGGATGCAGGAGGAGCAGCGGATATGTCGGCCTGGACGAGCGCAGGTCTTCAACCTACCACAGGGTACTACCCGTACGATCCCACGTTAGCAGCCTACGGGTACGTAAATTAACGATTTATTATTATGTATATTACACCGGAAAAAATGGTACTAATGGTACCGAAATGTCCGATTCCCATACCGTTTCCTATATAACGTTACATATATATCGACGTTATTAATCCCGACCGGTACTTCGTGCTCGGCAATTTTCCCAAGGATTTATTCCGCCTTTTACGTACTGTTCCCCATCATTGGGTACGACAATCGAAAACGTGTAATATCGTGATCGGTTTCGTCGCAGAGTTATTGCACGGTACCGGGTACTACTCGAGGAAATCGTTGATTTATTCCGTCGATAGTTGCAACGGTACCAGTGGCGTAGGATCGCTATATTTTATTCAATTAGTACCTCATCAAATGCAGCTTGGCTGCTGAGGATTGCATTAGGTGTACAAAACGTGGAGGGAATGAATTATATTATGGTACTAAAGGTAGTACTTATTGGTCTTAAATTTTACCAGGTGTATTATTTAATTATACAAACACGTTTTTAATTTGTTAAAATTCGGAAAAAATAGGATATGAACAGGGAGGGTTTAAAAATGCATTTGAGGTACTACTACAGTTTAGGTACTACTTTTTTGTGCTTTTAATTTGATAAATAATGAAGGAATTAATGTACAGTGATGACCAAAAGTCCGTCGCCCCCCTTTAACTTTTGAATGGTAAGAGCTTTTGTCGCGAAATTTGGGGTGTTTATATTGGAGTAAAAATACTATTTTTTGACGTAAAAATGACAGTTGAAACTTTCAAAATGACAGTTAGGCGCTATTTTGAATATTTTTTTCTTATGGAAAGAGGGTCAAGTGACACCTCGTTTTAAAGGTAATTTCATCCTTAAGTCAACCCCCAAATTTGAAAACACTTTAATAACGCATATTCATGTGAAGACTAATTTAGTTTTAACCCCCGGGCATATTGATACATTTAAAAATTAATTCTGAACGTACTATAAAATGTGTTAATTAATTGTTGTTATGGTTTCTTGGCTCTAACATTTATTTGTCAAATTTAAAGTTGATGAAATTGACAGTTTTTTCGTTTAAAGAACGAGCTATTGTCAATTTCATCAACTTTAAATTTGATAAACAAAAGTCAGAGCCAAGAAACCATAACAACAATTAATTGACACATTTTATAGTACGTTCAGAATTAATTTTTAAATGTATCAATATGCCCGGGGGTTAAAACTAAATTGGTCTTCACGTAAATAAGCGTTATTAAAATGTTTTCAAATTTGGGGATTGACTTAAGAATGAAATTACCTTTAAAACGAGGTGTCACTTGATCCCCCTTTCCATATGAAAAAAAGATTCAAAATGGCGCCTAACTGTCATTATGAAAGTTTTAACTGTCATTTTTACGTCAAAAAATAGTATTTTTACTCCAATATATATAAACACCCCAAATTTCGCGACAAAAACTCTTACGATTTAAAAGTTAAAGGGCGAGCAACGGACTTTTGGTCCTCACTGTATAATTTTTAATCTGCCAATGCCAAGCTACAATTAATGAGGTATATATGGTTGTTACTGCGCATCTTATAATCCCCCGTTCTAAGCTATATCCTTCGGTCTGTAGACGATAATGTAAACGAATCGTGAATCGTATTTTACGGAGTATTAAGGGTAGAAAAAAAGCGACGTCGCGTGGTAAAAATCACCGGCGTAATTCACGATTTTTAACGGGAAAACGCGAACGACAACAGGACGATAAATTATCGGAAAAACGTTTCGAGGACTATTAGAAAACGCGTTTGAATATCGTGTTTTCGGCTATTCGTCGTATTGTACCCGGCACCGTAACCGTAACCATAAATTTACCCAATCTTTTTCCATTTTATTAGTCCATAATGAAAAACCCCCTGTTATGTTTATTTATAAGGATTTATACGTATTTAATTTAGCGGGGCGTTTTTCGACGTTGTTTTTTTTTACCGGTGGCTAATGTACCGCGTCACGGCAACTTACAATAACTTTACCCCAACTCCGATACACTATTTATACTATAGGAGAATCTAAGCTAATAATAATTAATTAACTCACCTCGTATATAAAAAATGAAGCCCGAATTAATAGGATATATTTGGAATAAACGCAATTTAATCGAAAGCTTTATTAGCCGTATCGATTGTCCACTCGTCGATTTTTTCCACCCCTAGGTTCGAGCGCATTTAGGGGTGACTTTTATATTTTTTTTTTTCACCCCGCCGTCAAAGTGACATCGGTGACCGCCTTTCCCGTGTCTATCGGCAAAAAGTAGCCGGGTTTAATAGGGGTTGAAACCACTCTAGCCGTAATCAAATCCCACACCGCGTATATATATAGGGGGAAAACTCCTTTTTCCCCCATACATCAACTCGACGGTTTTCCGCACGTATTTTTTTTTCTTCTCTATATATATTCCCCGTTGAAGCTCTATTAGAGGAAAAGTGTTGATTAAATGGTGAACGTACAGGATTGGGTGTAAAGTAGAGTTTGTATAGGGGGGTAAGTTTTGAAAAATTATGGAGAAAAAAAATGATTTTTTTTAGCAAACATTTAAATAAGGGTTGTAATTTACATCATCTGTATTTTAACCAAAGAATTTTCTAAATTTTTATAAGGGATGTATTTTCTAAGGGTTGATAAATTCCAAGCCGCCCCTTAGGTTTGTACAGGGGGGTAAGTTTTGAAAAATTATGAGAAAAAAAACGATTTTTTTAGCAAACATTTAAAAAAGGGTTGTAATTTACATCCTCTGTATTTTAACCAAAGAATTCTCCAAAATTTTTATAAGGGATGTATTTTCTAAGGGTTGATAAATTCCAAGCAGCCCCTCAGGTTTGTATAGGGGGGTAAGTTTTGAAAAATTATGAGAAAAAAAAAACGATTTTTTTTAGCAAACATTTAAATAAGGGTTGTAATTTACATCCTCTGTATTTTAACCAAAGAATTTTCTAAAATTTTTATAAGGGATGTATTTTCTAAAGGTTGATAAATTCCAAGCAACCCCTCAGGTTTGTATTAGGGGGGTAAGTTTTGAAAAATTATGAGAAAAAAAAAACGATTTAATTAGCAAACATTTAAATAACGGTTATAATTTACATCCTCTGTATTTTAACCAAAGAATTCTCCAAAATTTTGATAAGGGATGTATTTTTTAAGGGTTGATAAATTCCAAGCAGCCCCTCAGGTTTGTATTAGGGGGGTAAGTTTTGAAAAATTATGAGAAAAAAAAACGATTTTTTTTAGCAAACATTTAAATAAGGGTTGTAATTTACATCCTCTGTATTTTAACCAAAGAATTCTCCAAAATTTTTATAAGGGATGTATTTTCTAAGGGTTGATAAATTCCAAGCAGCCCCTCAGGTAGACGTATAAATAAACGTTTCAAAATATATACATATTAAATCGCGTTGGTGCATTGCGATCGGCGGCACCTGCGTCGCGACGTCGCACGCCGCGACGCGCCAATCAATACGGGTGGGGAACGACGTCCCCCCCGTGTTCGGCCATTTTGTCTTCGAGCCGTTCCGCCGCCGCCGCCGCCGCCGCCGCCGGAAATTAGCCGCTCTCCACCGCAATCCGAGTCCGACGAGCTTTTCGACTTTTCATTTTTTTCGTTGGCGATTTTCCCGACGGTTTTCCGACGACGCGAGCGATTTCGCTAGGAAATTTTCCTCCATTAAAGCGGAAAATCGACCAGTACTTGCATCAACACGAATTAGATTAAACAATGGATAATAATAACCAATTAATTTTACCACTTAGTTTACCTCCACATCATCCAAGTTCCTTCCCCATTCCATCCCCCATTGTATCCCCATTTCATCCCTATTTAATCCTCTATCATTCACCACCAACCTCCTCCATTCCATCCACCTCCAAAACCACAACCACAACCACGACTCATCACCACACCACAACAAATTCCCTCATTCTTCTTCCATCAAATCCATCTAACAACCTTGGATTCTAAACCGTCACAGGTCTTTCTTCTTTCATCAAATTCATCTATCTAACAACCTTGGATTCTAAACCGTTACAGGTCTTTCTTCTTTTATCAAATTCATCTATCTAACAACCTTGGATTCTAAAACGTTACAGGTCTTTCTTCTTTCATCAAATTCATCTATCTAACAACCTTGGATTCTAAAACGTTACAGGTCTTTCTTCTTTCATCAAATTCATCTATCTAACAACCTTGGATTCTAAACCGTTACAGGTCTTTCTTCTTTTATCAAATTCATCTATCTAACAACCTTGGATTCTAAACCGTCACAGGTCTTTCTTCTTTCATCAAATTCATCTATCTAACAACCTTGGATTCTAAAACGTTACAGGTCTTTCTTCTTTCATCAAATTCATCTATCTAACAACCTTGGATTCTAAACCGTTACAGGTCTTTCTTCTTCCATCAAATTCATCTATCTAACAACCTTGGATTCTAAACCGTTACAGGTCTTTCTTCTTCCATCAAATTCATCTAACAACCTTGGATTCTAAACCGTTACAGGTCTTTCTTCTTCCATCAAATTCATCTATCTAACAACCTTGGATTCTAAACCGTTACAGGTCTTTCTTCTTCCATCAAATTCATCTAACCTTGGATTCTAAACCATTACAGATACGGCGCCGGCTACGATTTGGCGGCGCGACGCAAAAACGCCACCAGGGAATCGACGGCGACGCTGAAAGCGTGGCTGAACGAGCACAAGAAAAACCCCTACCCGACCAAAGGCGAGAAAATCATGCTGGCCATCATCACCAAGATGACCCTCACCCAGGTGTCCACGTGGTTCGCGAACGCCCGGCGGCGTCTCAAGAAAGAGAACAAAATGACGTGGGAGCCGAAGAATAAAACCGACGACGACGACGACGCCTTGGTGTCCGACGGCGACGATAAGGATAAGGACGATGACGAGAAAAGGGACGATGCAGGTATTTAATTTACTCCGCTAGATCACTGTAATGTTACTCCAGGAATGTCGATGCTTTAGTTAGGTAGATTTCTCCAGCAGTCTTTATACAAGACTGTTCTGAAAGTTCCTGAACAAAAGATTCCTTTTGAATGAACATATTTCTCTATTCCTTCAAGCCTCTTTTGCTTCCTGGGGTTCTCCATTCAAGGCTTGTTGAATAATCACCAGGTCCTTCAAGTCTCTTCTAACTTTCCATTTAGGCTTCTTTGAACAATCACTCAGGCTTACATTACCTCTGTCTGGATTCCAGCACATTAAACAGTTCCCTGTCCACTTTAAGTTTACAACAGTACATCGCGTTAGAATTATAGCGATTATGTATAGAAGAATTCCTCGCAGGGGATTAGCGTTTTAATCGAGTTTGCCATATCAGGATTTGATTTATTCCGCTAGATCACTGTAATGTTACTCCAGGAATGTCGATATTTCATTTCAAGGTAGATTTCTCCAGCAGTCTTTATACAAGACTGTTCTGAAAGTTCCTGAACAAAAGATTCTTTTTGAATGAACATATTTCTCTATTCCTTCAAGCCTCTTTTGCTTCCTGGGGTTCTCCATTCAAGGCTTGTTGAACAGTCACCAGGTCCTTCAAGTCTCTTCTAACTTTCCATTTAGCCTTCTTTGAACAATCACTCAGGCTTACATTACCTAGATTAGCGTTTTAATCGAGTTTGCCACATCAGGATTTGATTTATTCCGCTAGATCACTGTAATGTTACTCCAGGAATGTCGATACTTCATTTCAAGGTAGATTTCTCCAGCAGTCTTTATACAAGACTGTTCTAAAAGTTCCTGAACAAAAGATTCCTTTTGAATGAACATATTTCTCTATTCCTTCAAGCCTCTTTTGCTTCCTGGGGTTCTCCATTCAAGACTTGTTGAACAGTCACCAGGTCCTTCAAGTCTCTTCTAACTTTCCATTTAGCCTTCTTTGAACAATCACTCAGGCTTACATTACATCTGTCTGGATTCCAGCACATTAAAAAGTTCCCTGTCCACTTTAAGTTTACAACAGTACATCGCGTTAGAATTATAGCGATTATGTATAGAAGAATTCCTCGCAGGGGATTAGCGTTTTAATCGAGTTTGCCATATCAGGATTTGATTTAATTCGATTTCACGAGATTTACTATCTTTGTACGGCATCGAAGCTAGCGAGAAATTCGAAGCCCCTACCGCCATGTTGAAATCAGAGCGGACCAATCAACAATGCGATTAGCCGGAACTTTACCTAATAATATCATTAATGTGGTAATTTAATAGTAGATTAATAGAAAATTCGAACTTCGAAACAGTGTTTTCACGATAGGTATTACATTTCTTATTTATCCAACAAGACGAGTAAAAAAATATATTTAGAATCATAAGTGTCACCTACCTCATCGAATGTAGCTTGGCAGTTGGACAATGTTCAAATGGCAAGATATATCTGATGAGGTACATACATATAAACAGTTTAAGTTTAATTTCGTTAAGGAAAATCGGATAAAAATTGCATTATCTACATCTAAATAACGATCATCCGGGATATAAATCTCGCGCTAACGCCCCCTCGTCCTCATCCGGTCTCCCCTTCAGGTTTTCGGGCAAATAAAAAGGGCGAATTCAATTGGAGTTAATGGAAATCAAAGAGCGTATCCCTGCCGAGTAATTAAGGGCCCACGATAGGGCGACGTTTCACTTTTCGAAACGAAGGGAAAAAGGGATTAGGAGCGTTAAGGACCCTGACAAAACTTTCAATTACCATCCAGCCGGATTGACTCCCAAGGCTTTTATATAATTTAATTTATTTATTTATTTCGTTCTCAATTTTTCCAGATATACACGGCAGGATCAAATCCGAACGAACTAAAGATTTAGACGATGACGATATGACCGATGAAGACAGAAAAGACGATATACTAGGCGCCAGTATGCATCATATTTTAGGCAACGGCTTCGGCATGAAATCCGAGTTGAAAACATCGGATTGCGGGGTACCGCTGCCGCCTTCCAAACCGAAAATCTGGTCGCTGGCGGACACCGCCGCCTGCAAAACGCCCCCGCCTCCGCCGTCGTCGCAACAATGGCTCGGCGGCAACGGCTTCGCCCTGCCCAGCTCGCGCTACGCCGGCGGCGGCGGCGTCGTCGGCGGCGGCGTCGTCGGCGGCGGCTTCCTGTCCGGCCACTGCCAGCAGGGCTTCGCCGACGTGCAGACGGACACGCCGCCCCAGACGCCGCCCAGCATGAAGCTGCCCAGCGTCGCCGGCAACCTGCTGCCCGGCCAGGGGGCGCCCTGCATAGCGGCGCCCGCCGGCGCCGGCGGCGCCTACGCCCAGGCCGGCTTCCTCGGCGGCTTCGGACGGTTGCAGTCGCCCCAAAGGGCGCCGCCCCCGCCGCAGAACCAACTCGCCGCGCCGCCGGCCAACGACAACGCCGCCTTCAAACCTTTCTACAAAAGGTCAGTTGATTATCTCACTTATACTACATTGGTCGAAGATTGAATGCTGCTCAAAGTTGTTGATGAATGTTGATGATGAAAGTTGATTAATGTTGATGATGAAAGTTGACGATGAAAGTTGATGAATGTTGATGATGAAAGTTGACGATGAAAGTTGATGAATGTTGTAGATGGATGGTAAAATGAGTAAAGTATCAAAGTTAATAAACAAAGTTTATGAATGTTGTAGAAGAATGTTAAAATGAGTAAAGTATCAAAGTTAATAAACAAAGTTGATGAATGTTGCAGATGAATGTTAAAATGAGTAAAGTATCAAAGTTAATGAACAAAGTTGATGAATGTTGTAGATGAATGTTAAAATGAGTAAAGTATCAAAGTTAATGAACAAAATTGATGAATGTTGTAGATGAATGTTAAAATGAGTAAAGTATCAAAGGTAATGAACAAAGTTGATGAATGTTGTAGATGAATGTTAAAATGAGTACAGTATCAAAGTTAATGAACAAAGTTGATGAATGTTGTAGATGAATGTTAAAATGAGTAAAGTATCAAAGGTAATGAACAAAGTTGATGAATGTTGTAGATGAATGTTAAAATGAGTAAAGTATCAAAGGTAATGAACAAAATTGATGAATGTTGTAGATGAATGTTAAAATGAGTAAAGTATCAAAGGTAATGAACAAAGTTGATGAATGTTGTAGATGAATGTTAAAATGAGTAAAGTATCAAAGTTATTGAACAAAGTTGATGAATGTTTGATGATGATTCAATTAATTTTTAATACATTTTCGCGATATTCCTGATCCCTGCTGTTTCTGTTGTTGTTTTGTATAAAATAAATTAATCGCTTTCGATGTTTCGTTCGATTTTCCTTAATTTGTGTGTGTGTTTTTTTATATACAAAATATCAGGTAGGGTTTCGTCGCTGTTATAAAATAAATCGTAAATCTGTTAGGCAGAATTTGAGGCGATAAAATAAAAATAAAAATAAAACGAAACGAACGTTTCGCATGAATATTAATGAATTTCTTTCTCTAAACACACACACACACACACACACAGAAACTCACGTATAACAGTGCGAAAACTATTCAGCAATATTTTTTTTATTCCAATGTTTTATTCATAACCTAAATCGATAAAAAAAACACCAAAAAGAAAAATAATCTAATATTCCGATTTTTTGCAGCTCCCAAAGCATGAACGGAGGCTTCGTGTCGCCCGTTTGAGCCGCCCCCGACGATCGGGCGTACGCCAGGTAAGAGCCCCCCCCCCCCGAAATATCAAAAAATATTTATCCCCAAAAAAAAAAACAAAAAAAAAAAAAAACGTTTTTTTCCCCGAAACCGCGCTAACCGGAGCCCCAACCGGCAACGCCGCCCACACGCCCAGGTGAATGAAGAATGCCCCGCAGTCACAATCGCCACCTCCGTGACATTGACAAATGAACGTTGATAGCGATCAGTGAATGGTCCTCGTGCGGCCATTAACTAGACACTATACGCGGTCGGTGCGGTAATTATCCGACCGGAGACGATTCTTATTTTCTCTATTTTATTTTTTTTTTGTATTTTTATCATCCGATACCTGTATATCTTCTACGACATCTACGGAAGAAAGGGAGGTTTCCTCTTCTTCTCGATCTTCGTCTCGTTGTTGTTGGTTTTTTTGTTTCTCTCATCATCATCATCATCAACTTCTCGGTTTCTATTTAATTAATGGCACAGGAAGAGATCGTCAATTAAATCGAGATTGTTGATGATCGATCGGGTTAATGAGCGCTGGGCTAAATTTAACGGATCATTTAGTTTGTATCGAATTATTAACTCTTCGCGTTAGATTAACGAGTCGAGGGATCGAGCCGATCTCAAAACGGACGGCTCAATCGTCGGGTTATTGAGAGAGCTAATTGGAGAATTAACGCGAGGGAATCGTAAGGGAACTTTAATTGAGAGAATTGTTGGAGGATATTAGAGAGTTTATCAAGAGAATTCAATTCATGAGAACGTTGAATTAATGCATGAATTTAAAGGAGTATTCAATTAATAGAATTAATGATGAGGGAATTAATGATGAGGGAATTAATGATGAGGGAATTAATGAGAACATTAAATTAACGAATTAATGAGAGAATTAATGAGAACGTTGAATTAATTGGAGAATTCTAAAGACAATTCAAAATGAGTGAATTGTTCAGAACATTAGAAAATAAAGAGAATTCAGTAATTAACAGAATTGATGAAGGAATTAATAATAATCAACCATCGAATCAACCATCAAGAGAATCAACCATCATCGAATAATCAAATTAATATTAGTAAATTAATAACAAAAATAACACGAAAATTGTTGATTAAACATTTACATTGGCAACACTGCCTTCGAAGTATGTCACACGTCAGGCCACTGGGCAGTGTTACCAACCATTAAAAACCAATCAAGGCTCGAATTTCGAATTGAGAAACTGATTTCGCAACGCGCCCGTTACCTACCGCTGTAATTAAATAATTTAATTACTTTTTGGGATGATTAATCGATTATTTTTTTTTGGTTGCAGATACGGAGAGAGCGCCTTCGACGACAACGACACCTCACGGGCAAAGTGCAAAACAAACAAATATACGATGTGAGTGAAAAATGAACAAAAAAAAAACAAACAAACACGAACTAAACGGCTCGCGCAATACCGCAATATGTTGTACATTTGTGTAAATGCATTTATTTATATCTGTGATAAAGAACAACAAAAAAAAAAAAACGAAAAGAAAATTTAGGAAAATAGAGGAGAAGATGGAGACGCAAGAAATGGGAGAGAAATGGCCCGAGGATGCTGTTCCGGTTGCGAATCGATAGGAAAGAAAATGGAAAAAAAAATAAACTATTGCTCGCACTTTATATTTGTGTAATTCAACCAGTCACGAGTTATAATAGTTGCGCGTACGAGGGGCGCGCGACAAGTCGAGAATTTCCCCCGGTTGATTTTTTACGTACCTGTTAGTAGCGCACGAACAAAGCAATTAATTAATGATTAATTATCGATGAATGAATTCTCGACGCGTCGCGTCGCGACGCCTTCGTACGCGGTTAAAAAAAAAGAAGAATAATACGTATTTCACCGAAAAGTCATTCTAGTTGTATTTCTCTGGATTTTTTTTCCCTTTCACGTACGTTACACACATACAAACACACACACGGAACACAAAGTTGATTTATTTTCTTCTTATTGTTGCGATTATTTCCGTTCGAATTAGACGAATTGTTGTGTAAAAAGATTTTTATAAGCATTTTACCATATCGAGGATTTGTTAAGATTCTATTATTATAAAAAAAAATAAAATAAAAACTAACATTATATTTCTTCTTCTGTTTGTTTCGGGCTGCGAGTCCGGCGAATTAAACGAAAAAAAAAAATAAGAGTTGTAAATTATTTTTATCCGTTTGTACATAGTTCAATGTATAGATTATGATTGTCTTCATTAAAATATTAACAGAGACTATATAAAAAAAATAATACAATTGCGTTTTATTCACCACCACCACCACCACCATCAGGTAAAAATCTACCCTTAATCATCGGTGTTCCCGCAATTCCGAGAGCAGGTCAACCAGCATAAATAATATTAAAAAACCAACCCTCGCATCGAGTACTAAATTTTACCCTAAATACGGCGAAGGAAGCTCCAGCAGTGGGACTGGCAGTGCTGCCAACCCCTCGCGGCGTAATTTATTACTGTTTCAGAACTGACTACTGCATTGTTTAACTAAACAGCCAGCCGTAAAACGTCTATCTACCGGTGTATCTCTTTATCTTCGGATGTAAATTTAGTGTTTAGTATTTATTATATTTATTTTTCCACCGCCCGCTGATCGGACGGTCCTTAAAACGTCCGCAATTGTTCAAAACTCGATCGCTACAGGGCGATTGTTTGTATAAATTTACTCGGAATTATCGGTAAAGCGATACCCATTTGGTAATTAGTACAGCTTCATCGGCTGGTTTAATGCTTAAATAGGCTTTTTAGTAACTAAATAATTCCTTTTGTCGGGCGTTTTTTTTGACGATTCGACATCCCGGTGTCGATAAACAAAATGTTCGAATGTTACATTTTAAACGCCTCGTGAATTTGAATTTATTTATGGTAAATAGAAATATTACTTTTCGAATTCACCTTGTACAACGACGGGGCGCCGAAGACGAAAGGAAGTGCCCCTACTGAAATAAGCTATAAAAAATTTAAAATGTCAATGGCTCGCGAGAGCGACCGCAATTCATCATTTTTTTTTTCGTGTATTTTATATTCATTGACCGCCGGTGGAATTTACGGTTTTATGGCTACAGGGTGGACCAATTTTGCGGTTATAAATAGTTTAATTTGTGTAAATAGGGTACATAAATGATGTCAATTTTTATGTTGAACAAAGACAGATTATTAAGTTAAAAGTGGTTAAGGTGAGAAAGTTGCAATTCCACACTCTTTCCTTTTCTTTTATATGAGATTAGTGGAAGTTGTCTTTATTGCACCAATGGAATATATTGCATAAAATATTCCTGAAATATACTGCTTCACAAAAGTTAAGGAAGTTCACAAATATTGAGATTAATTTAAAAGTTGCAGATTTTTTGATCGTCAAATTTAGTGTGAGTTGTAGAGGTGGGAGCAAAAAATCCACTCAAATATGAGAAAAAAACATTTAATTTCGCATATTTGAAAAATCGGTGATCAAAAAGTCTGTAACTTTTAAAATAATCCCCAAATTTCGCGAACTTTTGTGGAGCAGTTTATTTTTTAGTGTATCGATTATTTGATTAAGCAACTACACTGAAAAAAATGTCTTTATTAAATTTAATTAACCACCTGCAGGACTAAAGCGTACAAAACTAAAAATACACATTGTGAACAAAGTATATAAACATTATAGACACAAAACGGACGTTTTTAATAGTCCCCTTTCCTGAATTATCGCCCAATAAAACCGTCTCACTGTTGAAATACTTTTGTTGTTTTTACTGACTGGTATTAATTATACGAATAAAAGTTTTATTTCTATTACCAATACAAATATCTTTATGGCACTGTTAAGTGTACATATATATATATACCCCCGCCTTATATTATATACACTATTTTTTTTTCTTCGTCCATTCCATCATTCACGGTCGTAAAAATTCGAGATCACTTCTTCATCTCTGCGCGAGATGACTATACAGGGAAAAAAAAAGAGTCACACACTGGGCCAGGGCCGGCGGGTTTTTACGAGCGATTTACAGCCCTGGCGCCCGGGACATCGTCCCGATATGTTCCTCGATATACAGGGTGTCCCAAAATTCACGCCCGTCCTTTCAGAATATGATTCAGCGGGCTAAAACAAATTAAATTTTAAGAATAAATTTTTTTCGTTTTGTCCTTGATAACCGAGTTATTGATAAAAAACAAACATTTTTAAATTCAACTAAAACTTTAACTAAAACAAAGTAACAAAGAAACATTATTAAACATAAGAACATAAAAAAACATAAAAACGAATAATTTATAAAAGGTGTTCAAACAAATCGCCGCCTACTTCAATGCAAACATTCGCGCGATTTACAATTGAATCAAGAACCCTCTGTAGCATGTTCTCGTCTACAAATGTCACAGGACAAAACGAAAAAATTTTACTCTTAAAATTTCATTTGTTTTAGCCCACTGAATCATATTCCGAAAGGACGGGCGTGAATTTTGGGACACCCTGTATACGAATCGATATATGTAAAATACCGATTATTCGACGGATCCTCGCAGGTGGTGGCGTTGCGCCATTTTCGCTTGTTTTATCGTCCATCAATAATATAAATTGTCCGAATGCGATTATATATTTTAATTGTGCGGACAAGCGGCCTAATAAATGGGTCTCGGACGAGGAGGATGGCCGGCCCACGCGCGATCGCCGGGCACCGGAGGAGCCACCGCGGAGGTTGGGCACCAGTCGATTATTATTAATATTCCGTTCCGATCGATTTTCCATTCGATGAAGGAAGCGCCTCTAGGTCGCCCCTTAGGGGGGATCCTAGATGAATTCGTTGCGTATGAAAGATAACTCGAGGTGTTCGCTATAAATCTCGGAACACCTTGTACAGGGACCCGCGTGAAGCTAGCAGCCCCACCATCAAAAAAAAATTATAGATCATAATTTAGTGCTATTTTAGTGCTAATTTAGTGACCACTTCCTAATTTTAGTGCTCGTCTGGTTGAGCAGAAAATTGCGATTGAAAATGTCGGTGATAAGTTTATAAAGCTAGCACCCCCACATTTAAATATTTAAACAAAATTAAAAAATAATATATCGGAATTTAGTGCTATTTTAGTGCTTTCGAATGCACTACTCAGAATTTCAGTTAAGGTATTATTCTTAAAGATACTTGATAAAAACGTATTGGAGTCAATAGAAAAACAGATAAACATAGAAAAAATACATTTAAACATAGTAATAGGGAAACGATTTTGGTCTCTAATGTTTCAATGATTTTAGTGCTTTTAAAGTAGTTAATGCCAAATTTTAGTGCTCAACCCTTAAATCCAAAAAAATCATATTTTTACCATTTTGTAGTCTGACCTCCAAGAGTAAAAATGTGATTTTTTGGGTTTAAGGGTTGAGCTCTAAAATCTGACTTTAGCTATCTTAAAAGCACCAAAATGAACAAAGAATATGAAACACAAATCATTTTTCTATCTATATATTTAATGACACTTGCCCAAGTTTGCTAGCCCAAGTTTGTTTAAATCGGCTCAGCCGTTTCGAAGATACAGGGTGTTTTTTACGGAAATATTTGAATAACACTCACCACTTTATTTTTAGAGATACAGCATAAATTGTTAAACAAAAAAGGTTCATATTATACTCGACTTTAAAGATCTGGTATTTTTTTGTTAGGTTAATATAGCGAAATTCATAAAAATATCACTTTTTTAGTTTCAATATTGCAGTTACACCCCCTAACGGCCATTTGAGAAACTTGAAAATATTTTCCAGGTTTTTCTCTTAGCCTTTTTAGTAATAACCGCAATCATCTACGATGCATATAGTTTCCCATATATAGTACCTCGCAATCTTAATTGGCCACCCTGTATATGATGTGGTGTACCTGAAAGATTCTTGTTTTTTTGAATGTTTCATTGTACGATGATAGCGATTTATTTTTAAGAACAGCCGTTCTCTTATAGTGTAGCGAATTTATTGAATTCGATTACACTAATAAAAAGAATTCGTTTCGATAGATAATTTCAGCATTTCACCGTAACATATACAGCGTCGTTTAGAGCGAATTTCCGAAGCGATTAAACCCGTCGATTCGTGAATTACGGAAAACCCCCCCGCGCACCATTAGTTATGGCTTATGCTAACGACGTCAACAAACACGAACGAGCTACATAGCTCTACAACTATAGCAGAGGCTCTCTAACGATAGACCCATCGGCGGCGGCGGCGACGCGTAGACGTCATTAATAAGCATTAGCGTCGATGAGTTAGTCGCTGATGTCTCATCCAGCCCCGTTTGTGCCGCGGTTATCTATTAATAGATTGTTCATGGGGTCGATTAATTATTTGGACGGCTGGTTATGTTTGAAAAGAAACGCTGTTTAGCTCGTTTATCGAGGTGAAGATGTGTGGTATTTTAGCTCGTTGATAAGCCAGGTAGCGAGAGTAGAATAGTAAAGGTGGAGAGAAATATATTCTGTACGAAACGTGGATTCGCAGGGATTCATCTAATACATATCTAAAATCTAACTATGCAAGACGGAACACTTCTAAATATCATCTAAGAATTGTCTAAAAGCCGTCTAAGAGCCATCTAAGAACCATCTAAGACTTCTCCAAAATGTATCTAAGATCCATGCAAGATATGACACTTCTTAAATCATGTAAGAACCATCTAAGACCCATTTAAGAGCCATCAAAGGAGCCATCTAAAAACCATGTAAAATCTAAGACCCATCCAAGATAGTACACTTCTGAAATCATGTAAGAACTATTTAAGACCCATCTAAGAGCTATCTAAGAGCCATCTAAGAACCATCTAAGAATCATCTATGAACCATCAAAGATAGGACACTTCTAAAATCATGTATGAACCATCTAAGAACCATCTAAGATCCATCTAAGAGCCATGTAAGATCTATCTAAGACCTATCCAAGATAGGATACTTCTAAAATCATGTAAGAAACATTTAAGACCCATTCAAGAGCTATCTAAGTGCCCTCTAAGAACCATCTAAGAATCATCTAAGAACCATCAAAGATAGGACTCTTCTAAAATCATGTATAAACCATCTAAGAACCATCTAAGAGTCATGTAAGATCTATCTAAGACCCATCCAAGATAAAATACTTCTAAAATCATGTAAGAACCATTTAAGACCCATCTAAGAGCCATCTAAGTACCATCTAAGAATCATCCATGAACCATCAAAGATAGGACACTTCTAAAATCATGTATGAACCATCTAAGAACCATTTAAGAGCCATGTAAGATCTATCTAAGAATCATCTAAGACCCAACCAAGATAGCACACTTCTAAAATCATGTAAGAACCACCTAAGACCTATCTAAGGGCTACCTAAGAGCCATCTAAGAACCATCTAAGAATCATCCAAGAACCATCTAAGAACCATCAAAGATAGGACACTTCCAAAATCATGTATGAACCATCTAAGAACTATCTAAGAACCATCTAAGAGCCATCTAAGAGCCATCTAAGAATCATCTAAGAACCATCAAAGATAGGACACTTCTAAAATCATGTATGAACTATCTAAGACCCATCTAAGAACCATCTAAGAATCATCTAAGAGCCATGTAAGATCTATCTAAGACCCATCCTAAATAGAATACTTCTAAAATCATGTAAGAACTATTTAAAACCTATCTCAGAGCTATCTAAGAGCCATCTAAGAACCATCTAAGAATTATCTAAGACCCATCCAAGATAGCACACTTCTAAAATCATGTAAGAACCATTTAAAACCCATCTAAGGCCCATCTAAGAATCACCTAAGGACCATCTAACAACTATCTAAGAGCCATCTAACACCAAAGATCTATGCAAAATAAGGACACTTCTAAAGAGGTCTACCTAAGACCCATCACAAAATCAAGTAAATATTATCTAAGAGCCATCTGAAAGCCATTTGGGACCCGTCGCGAGCGAGTTTGGAGAACTCTGCATCAAATCGAACCAAAAAAAAAAAAAAAAAAAATCCGGCGTTTAGTGACAAGTGGGAAAAAGGCGCTAATTGTAAATCTCGCCCGAAAAATATCAGTCAGTATATATACATAACCCACGGAACGAATTCCCCGCTGTTGAACATACCTCGACAACAGCCCGTACACAAAACCAGATAAAAATCTGGAGTCGACTTTCTCCGGTCACAACAACGTTACATATAGAGTAGTAGTATATCGTACGCCCGGCCGCGAATTTGAATATGTTAATTTCGGCGGAAAAATTTATAGTAACGCGCCCGATAGTCCCCCGGGAAGGGTTGGAAAATCGTCCGGCGACACGGCATTCCTATCGTCGTAAATGGGGTGTCGACACGAATATACCACCCCGAAGAAAACCAAAAAAAAAAACAAACCCTTATACTAATTTCCTTCCGAACGATTCGAACACTATACAGAAGTGTACCTTGTAATTAAAATTAGCGCCTTTCTACTCCAACACCAGATGTAGAGTCCAATTGAAGATTGTGTTAAAAGAACCATGTTTACTGAACAACCGCGGGAATCGGTCTTTTGGGTTTGCGTGAATGTGGAATTTCGTGATTTTTTTCGTTTATTTTCGGGGTTGGAGTCTCGAAAATTTATACTGACATTTTACAAATTTCGTGTAAAATGTCCCGCGGCGCGTCGGACGGTTAACAGTGGGATTACACGTTGTCAAATATTTACCACCCGTCGAGACAATGGCAATATTTAGATGCGACCTCTTTACGGTAACGGTCCGAGCTGTAATAGACTTTCTAATGGGCGGGGTATTGTTCTTGATTTCCACATATATTTTTCGTGCGTTGCGATAACATCTGTAGGCATATAGATTTTTATTTCGTAACGACTTCTGTCTGTATATTTGCGATTGTGTATGCAGAAGAATACATTGGAGAAATTAGTTTTTCCAGTGTGATTGCTAATTCATCTAAGAGCCATCTAAGAACCATCGAAGACAGGACATTTCTAAGAGCCGTCGAAGAGCCATATTAGAGTCATCTAAGAACCATCTTAGGGCCATCCAAGGCCTATCAAAGATCTATCTAAGACACTGGCAA